TTTTGTCATCAGATTAGCAGCGCTGAGTTTGAACAGCAAAAGCAGGTATCTTCTCAGAAGGCCATGGAGGAGCTGCTGGAGATCCTGCTGACAAACCAAAACATAAGTGAGAAGGACAGACGCAAGAAACTGAAGCAGGTAACAAAACACTCTTCTTGGCTACTTTCACACTGCAGGCTTAATGCTCAATTCTGATTTAATTGCCATCCAATTTTTGGACTGTTCACATTAAATGTTCACAGCTTTTTATCCTAATTAGTCCTTTTTACCACATTCATTACAGTTTCACTGTAGAGTAGCATGCATGTGACGCAGTATTGTGATGACAGTCACTCTAGAATGACTCTCCAGACTAAGGTCATATTTAAAAAAACAAAAACAAAAAAAAACTCTGACATGAGTCTGACTTGGACCACCTATCAAAGTGGCCCAAATCTGAACTGGAAAATATCATATTAATGTGACTTGGGCTGTTCTAAAACAAATCTTATCTGAGTCATATATGAGCAAAGAAAATCACATATGGGTCACTTTGACCTACATCTGTTTATGTCTGTCTGCGTGTAGCACCTCATCACCAAAGCAAATTTCTTGTATGTGTAAAACACTACTTGGCAATAAAGCTCCTTCTGATTCGGAATACATCCAAATGCTCAGTCAGAAATTAGTATTTTTTTTTTTTTTTCACCTTGTACTCAATTTACCAAGGATCTGGATGGGTATCTTTTTGTTGACCAGATAAAATAAATTAATATTTGTATTTCCAGGCACCTGATTGCCTACCAGTTAAATCAGTCTGGGATTCAGTTCAGTATGTATTTGTCAGTTTTAACACCATTGTTATGTTTTCAACCAAAAGGTCCTTAAGCTCCACTCTCTGCTTATTCCAGGTTATTTTAACCAGTGTAGAGGGCACATGTATTGTGTGGTATTTTTTACTATTAAATCATCATTTGTAACATTTTTCAGCACTATTTCATCATTATCATATTATGATTAGTTTAAACTATGGCATAAAGAGTAACTTGACACCTTCTCATAATCTTGAATCTTAGATTCTCCTCATAACCTTGTTTTTGACCTCCAGTGGGTTATGGTTCTTTGACCATGTTGAAATGGATTTTATGTGGACCCTGACAGCTCTGCAGTCAGTCACTCAGTAATGAATTTCATTGTCTTTGCTTCAGTTTCAGAAGCAGTACCCAGACATCTACTGTCGTCGGTTCCCCTCCTCAGACCGGGAAAACAACAAGCCAAAGATTAAACCTCCCCTCCTCAACATCAAGAAAACCAAAGCTTTCAGCATCAGGAACTAAACTAACCATCCAGGTGTCACCATTATAGAAGCCACAGTCTTTATGCCATTTTTGCTGCACTATTACTGCACTGACATTAAGAGATTTGTAAAATTCACTTCTCTTTGCAGCCATCAACGTTTCCTTGTTACATTGGAAATACTATTATTCCTGTTGTGTCTCACTTATGTACTAATATGAGAGTTAATGCAGGCTGGAAGACTTCTACAATAGTAAATGTGTGTATTCGTGCTGTGTGAATGTTTGGGTTGACAGCTGAGTTAGCTGAAGGCAGGTGGACAGTTTGTTTGTTAGAGCAGTTCACGTTCATTACTGTGTCCAAATATAATGTGTTTGAAGTTCATTGATCTGTGTTCATTTGGATTAGTCGAATTTTCTCTTTTACCCAGTTTAGTTTTCTCTCACCTGTCGTCTCTATTGCTAGCTGATACTGACCTGTTTGTGTGTGCATGTGCATGCGTACAAGAGTGCATTTTGGGAGATGAAATTCTGAGATCACTGGTCTATATGGGAGTAATTTGATTATCAATTTCTTAATTTATATGAATGATGACATTGGGAGCAGTGCTAGATATGTCTTGTGTGTCTTTGTCATGTTAATTGTTTTTATAAACTTTACTAAACTTTTTATTATATCAGAATCAGCATAGAAAGTTTTATTTGAAATGACATTGAAGTTTGAATTAGTTTCATTCTTTTGTTCTTTTGCCTCTGGCTTTCTTTTTCCTTCTGTTGCTTTCGCTTGTGTTTTCTTTTTTGTAGTGATGTTTTAGGTTTTTCTCATAGGGAACTTTTGATTTTCAGGATCTTAGTTTTTCATATACAACTCGGTTATTGTAAATGGACTTTCCCAGTTCCTTGTGTTTGTTTGTTTCATCTCGAACCCATGCTTGCTTAGTTGTTTTTGGCTAGAGAAATATTTTGCACTGGATTTAGGCATTGTGGATAGCCAATAAGGTTAAGCCAAACATCAGAATTGTTAATTTATACATATTTAATGCATATTAGACTCCCCAGGTTAGTCAAGTTTTAGTGTAAACTGTTGCCTCAGCTTGTAAATAAAGCCTCATGAAGTGTTTTTTTTTTCTTCAACAACTGCAGCAATTAATCATTTGAAAGCAGTGAAGTGGCTATAGACTGTACTTATTGCTTGTAATGAGAGTCAGATGGCATCCATTAATTTCAGTGATTGATGCTAACAGGTAATTAGTAAACTGAGGTGCAATACAGTCAAGTGTCTGAGGAAATGTCAAGCTGTGTTTTTTTTATTTTTTTTTTATTTATCTTATATGAAGTATTAGTTCAACCCTGATATGTTTGTCTATACCTCAGATCAAGTGGCGTACATTTGTGTATGTCTAACCATATAGTGTATACACTCATCAGCAGTGTATTTGGCGCAGACTTTTACAGAGGGGAGTGTATCTTGTTAACCTTAACAGTTGCACTCTTCTTTTACATTGTTTACTATGCAAAGTCTTGGGAAATAAACCTCTTCAGCTATTCTATTTAAATGCCTTTGTCCTGTTTCTGTTTCTGTTTGTGTGTGTGTGTGAAAGTATGTGTGCCGTGAATACTGTACACATAAAATATATTAAGCATGCCAGGTACTAAAATGTGACAGGCACCTAAACTGGCTATAGAAACCACATTCCCTCTACCCCTCCCATTAATCAGATACTCAGTGCCTTAGACTTGTTATAAATGGCTTGTCTGAGGATAATACTCACAGCAACTATTGTCATATGTATGGTTGTATATTGAAACGATTGAAAGGTTTGGCAGGGTTCTGTTAAAAAGCATCACTCTCAAGCAGCACTTAATCATCTTTCTTTTTTTACATTCTCATGCTTTTGTGTGTGTGTAATTATATTTTTTTTATTTACAACCTTAATGTTGATATGTAAGCTTTTCAATGCAGTTTGCTGAACAAACACAACCAGCCAGACAGGTTTTAAGTAAGTCCATTTAAAACAGTTATCTAAACTGCTTATTTGTCACAATATAACAAGTTATAGAATGAAATTAAATTTTGTAACTTCCTTCTGCTACATAGCAGTCTATACATTAACAAAGAATCAATTATGAAAAATGGTAAACAGAACTATCATCACTGGAGCAGTGCTGAGGATGAATTAGAGTTTAAGAGCCTGATAGCTTGGGGGGGGGACTCTGCTCTGCAGTCTGGTGGTGGGGCAGCAGAAACTTCTATATCTCTTCCCAAAAGGCAACAGGGTGAACAGGGCTGTGGCTGGGGTGGGTACTGTCCTTTAGTATCCTTTGGCCTTTGCGTAGGCACCTCACCGATATCACTGATAGTCGGGAGATGTGTACCAATGATCTTCTGAGCAGTTTGAATCACAGTAATAATAAACACACCCAAAGCGTCCCGTAAGTGTCCTCTTCACTGTAAAAGTGGCTTTATTGTAAGTCTAAAATTGAACCAGAAAGTCTGCAGATAACTGGGGGATGAGGATGAACCTTAGCTTTCCTCTAGTGTAAGCCAGGTCACATTGTCACATCTTTTACATATCCTGTGGCTCAGCTGGCATGTAATTGGTTGCAGATATTCATGGTTCCCAGAGGATAAAGTCTATGTCCTCACCGTCACTTTCAGTCCAAAGTGTTCACTTAAGATATCCCATATGACCAAAATGGCAGCACTGTTAACTGACAATACAGTCTACAGCCACGCTAGCAGCTCCGCAACGCTATAGTCCGGCACACCGGTCCATGGAGCTGAATGCTAACCTGCTGGTTTTTAGCAGGTACAATTGTTACCATTTTCATGTCTCACTGAGACGATTTACAAATATATTTACAAATTTAACTGGTGTAATGTGGGCATGCTCTTGGTTTAGCATGTTCACATGTTAACATTTGCTTATGAGCACTGAACACAAAGTATAGCCGAGTCTGAATGTAAATTTTAAAGTTTATTTGACACATTTAGACACCTGATGATGGTGCTAGATGAAAAGTTAAGTGATCACAACGAACAACAGTTCATGCTAAGATGTTGCATTGCCAAAGCCATTAGGATTCATTCTCTGGGGACTATGAATGTTTGTATAAAAAGTTTATGGCAATCCATCTAACAGTTGTTTAAAAATTTCAGTCTAAACCAAAGTGATAGACCACCACACTGACATCCTTAGAGCCATGTTAAAAACAACGCTATAAAGAATACAGTTCAAAAAAGCAAGAACACAATACTGTATTACTGAGGTTTATCTTAGTATAGACTTTTTGTCTTGTTTATTTATGTACAGTCATGCACCAGCATCAATGTGTTAACCTGCACTCAGCAGCAACACACAAACACTCAAAGACGTATTACTGCTCCTTGTAACCCTTATTAATGCAACCATTTGTTTTAGGCTACTCTTTTGTTCTTCTATAGCGTTCAACTTTCATTTATCAAAATGACAGGACAAAATAAAATAGACCGCCCTCCTGTTTTCTGTTTCTCTTCCTCCCCCTCCAGGGCTAGTCAATAAAATAGTTTCTGGATTACTGTTGAGGCATAAGTCTGGAACTAATTAGATAGGATTCTTTCTACATGCTTATCCATGTGTAAAAAAACAACAACGGCACACAGCTTTTGAAAGCTGACTTTATGAGTTTGACCAACATCATCGGTAAGTGTTTGAGTGTTTGTGTTCCCAGGTTGACAAAGACCTTGTTTTGGGGCCCAGAGAACATTCTGCATGAGGCTGAGGGGCGGCTGAAAGGCGAGGAGACAAAGCTGGCTTGTTCAGCTCTGGATACGGCCCTAGGAGAAGGAGGAGGAAGAAAAGAGGGGAGCAGGGGAGCAAAAGGCATGAAAGGAAAACAGGGGCGAGAGAGAGATGCAAAGGAAAGTAGGAGGGATTGTGGGAAGCAAGGAAGGATGAAAAAGGGAAGGCATAAATGAGAGGAGGGAGGAGGGGGGTCCAGTTTCCATCCCTCAACACAGGAAAAATTTGTGGTTTAAATACAAGCTGGAGTCTCTTTTTTGCAGGCTACTTGTGTGTGTGTGTGTGTGTGTGGAGGACATACAGTAGCATGGCCAGCCGGTGAGTAAAATCTTCCCTTTCTTTTCTCTAATAGTATTACATGTTCAAGGATAGAAACTTAAAGAAGAAGTATGTTTTTAAAAAGACCTTTCAAGGTTCAAATGTATTGGTTTCTCAGGAATGAAATAAGTGAAAGCTGCTTGTAGACGGCCTGTTGTTTTCCTTACGAGAATAACATTTGAGGGTGAGTCTACTATGTAGAGTTTAGATGCATATTTAAAAGCATATGCATATGTTTTTAAACATAAATTCCAGGAAAAGTGAGACTGCAGCAGTGAGACACCGAATTAAACCTTGAAAAGATGATGTCTGCACTCTGGAAAAATACCCCCATTAAATAACTGAGGAAATGTTCCAGCCTTTGCACTCCTCAAATCTTGGAGTACACATGTAGACAAATTGTGGTGTTTTACTGGTGTAGGTTTTCAGGTCTAATGTCAAAATAAGGTTCAAGTGTACTGGATGCAAAACTAATTATTATTTAGAGGAGTGTTTCAGAGAGAGAAAAGGAAACTAAGAGAATTAGTAGTTTAAGAAGGGGAAGGGAGAGCATGATAAAGAACGAAAAAGAAAGTAGAGGCAATGGCAGAGTAAAACAGGGAAAAGACTGAAAGACAAGAAAGAAAACGAAAGAAAAATTTAACATTACAAGAAAGAGACAAATATCAATAAAGAAGGACATGAAGTGAAAAAGGAAAGAATTGCACTGGGCAGTACAAAAACAAGAAGCAGTTGACAAAACAATCTCATCACGTGGTCCCTTTAGTTGCTGTTGATTGTATCACACCATCTTCCTCAGCAGATGGAGTTTGCATTATTTTTTATTAATTCAGCACTTTAAGGAATTACTTAATCTTTTTAATTTGAATAAATTTAATTCCATGATAACGGGGGAAAATCCATCTGCTGAGGAAGATCTCTCAAGATATAATCAAAAGCTCCAAATCAGCAACTAAATGGACCTTGTGGTAAGATTCTTATGTCAAAAAGGTTTTGTTTGCAAGGTCAAGAATGAACTTTCAATCTCAAGGTGAGTAATTATCTGCATCACATGAAGCCCACTGATAAGTCCCTGTACATTTGGAATATATGATTGTAGATTGAGAGAGTCCTTGGTGAAGTTATGGAATTCAGTTTTTTATTTTCCTGTGCAGTGTGGAGCATCCTGCTGCGGGCTACAGGAAGATCTTTGAGACAGTGGAGGAGCTGAATGAACCTATACCTGCTAAGATCACTGGTAGGACAGCGAGCAGACATACATACACATTATACATTTTGCCTTTATTTAAAAGCTAACAATAGAAAGTCTATGCAGTCGTTGCAATTAAATGGTATGTACATTAGACCACTAGGCCATAGGAACTAAGCTATTCTGCTTGATAACTTCCACATAAGCTAATAGATTGATCTTAAAGGAATAGTTCAACATTTGGGGAAACAATCTCCGGCAGGGACTTACATGAGAGGATACCACTCCCATGTCTGTCTGTGAAATATAAGGTTGCAGCCATCATATTCTGTGACCTCATTAGGATTTTTAGCTCCATTGTTTCTGCAAATGGTTTTATCATACCTTATTGCATTTATTTTGACAGTTGTTGCCAAACATGGTGGTATAATAGTATTTAGAAGGGGTCACACATTTTGATATCTGGGATATGTGGAATTTGTGGACCGTGACACGTGAAGATTAATTGAAAAGGTGTGAACCAAGTATTGTGAGGTGTTAGTGCTCTACAGACAGACCTATACACCAGGGTTCTGCTATCATAGCTATCAAAATGTGTGAGCATGTCTAAATATTGCGGAGAGCCATTTTTGATAACACTTATCATAATGAAGTATAAAGTGTGATAAAACATTTATGCAATGATAATATGACTGAAATTCCTTTTTGGGTCACAGTGTATGGTGTGGTGTAGCCCCAGCAGCCGGTTAGCTTAGCTTAGTTTAGCACCAAGACTGGAAATGGGTGGGGGGGACTGATAGCCTGGCTCTTTTCCAAGAAACAAAAAATGCCAACTAGGACCTTTAAAGCTCACTAATTAACACATTAGAGCTTTGTTTGTTTGTACAACAACCAAAAAGTGTAAATATTACGTTGTTTTATGGGCAGTTATGTGCTGGAATATTTCTTAGTTGTCAGACAACCATTGGAGAGAAGTTTAAATGGTCCTTTTTATTTTTTAGAAAATGTACTCTTTTTGTTGCCACACTATGACATGCTCTTTCTAATTTGTATTGCGTTTCTATTATATTCAGTGTAGCACCTGTCCTATTATTTGCCTTTTGTCTGTTCATGTAAATGTGTGCAGGTGTTATACCGTCGTGGCTGGGTGGCAGTCTTCTCAGGATGGGTCCAGGTCTTTTCGAGGTGGGAGATGAACCTTTCCATCACCTGTTTGACGGACAAGCTCTCATGCACAAGTTTGACCTGAAGGACAGTCAGGTGACCTACCACAGGAAGTAAGATTACTATTTATTACCTCATTTCAAAGTATGAGCAATTTTTCTTAATAAAAACACCCTTGTTTTTATTGGCATTTTCTGAAAAGATTACGTTTAGCAGTTTTTATGGGTCTGTGTTTTTACATTTTGTTACATCTGTTCTTTATCTCTGTGCCTCTTTTGGTGAAGCACTTAAACTACATTTTTAAAAGGTTCTCCATAAATTTTGTTTTCTTGTGAAGCAGTTTTTAGCATGAATTTGGATCTGGGTGTGGGTCCAGTATTTTTTAAATGGAATTCAATGTTACATTGATTACTGTTAATAAACAATAAATATCTTGTGATTTTATAGTTCTCTGGCACATGCTGTATGTAATCTCTCTGCTCAGGTTTATCAAGACGGATGCATATGTTCGTGCCCTGACAGAGAACAGAGTAGTCATCACTGAGTTTGGCACAGCAGCCTACCCTGACCCCTGCAAAAACATCTTCTCCAGGTAACCCCAAACCCTGACCTTTTCACCATAACTGAAGAACTGTCATTTTCACATTTTGTTTTTTCTACATATTAAACAAATGAGATACAACGTGTTAATTACTGAGCTTTAGAGGTGCTGGTAGGCAGACAGCGCCAGGCTAGCTTTTTCCCCCTGCTTTAAGTCATTGTGCTAAGCTAAGCTAATCATCTCCTGGCTCTAGCTTCATATCTACGGACAAACATGAGAGTGGTATCAATCTACTCTTTTAACTCTTGGCAAGATAACAAATAAGTGATTAGTCCAAAATGTTGAATGAACTATTCCTTTAAGGATTTAACCAATACACTAATTCACAATTGCAATCACAATCGCTGCACAACTCTTTGTGGATTAAAACCTTTAAACAGTGGAAAACATAAAAAGCATCTGTTGCAACATCACTTGCTTGTGTGTGGTCAGGAGGTGCGTCATGCCTAAAAGGCCCATTTAGTGTTAATTTATCACTGGAGCTATTCACCTTTAGTTAACCACCTTTTTTAACAATTCCACACAGTCTTTAAAAGATGTCAAAGAAGGAACTTTGAAACCAGATATAGTTTTGTTTGTAACATTGTTTATTGCCATTTTTTACCCCCACAGTACATTCAATGTGAAACAATCCATTAGTTGATCGACAGAAAATTAATCAGTAACTACTTTGATAATTGATTAATCGTTAAAGCCATTTTTTTAAGCGCAAATTACAAAAACGGACTCCAGCTCCTCAAATGTGAATATTTGCTGGTTTTCTTATTGTGTAAAGCTATTAAATTGAATATTTTGAGGTTTGGACTGTGTCAACTTGGCCACTAAGTATTTGTAAAGGGCATTTGTTTTATTACTAATTCCTAACCTTTTAGGGACCAAAACATTTATAAATAATTAAGAAAATTATTGGCAGATTAATTCACAATTAAAATAATTGCTGCAGCCCTAAACTTCATTATACTACAACACTAAAATACAAAGGTTGAGTTCACTTGTTTACTGATGTATGAATACTATACATCATGATGTTAAGAGTCTACAAGTAATTATGTACATATCATAACACCCAATGCCTCATAGTATACTGTATGTTATTATATGTATTACTCATATTAAACCGTTTTAATGAAACGCGTTTGGTTTGATATCAACTGACCACCATCTTTCCTTGTTTCTGTGTAGATTCTTTACTTACTTCAGAGGCATTGAGGTGACTGATAACTGTGTAGTGAACATCTATCCGATCGGTGAAGACTTCTACGCTGTCACAGAGACCAACTACATCACTAAGATTGATCCTGATTCGCTGGAGACTTTACAGAAGGTGAGAGCTGTTTGGTTTACATCATGCTGACTCTTTAGGCTTCCAGTCAGGATTATACTGATAAATAATGCATTTTATATAATATTTTCAAGTTTTTCTTTTTAAGTACTAGGTTTACTTTTGTGTTGCCTGTCACGACTTGGGATATTATGCTGCTTGGGGTGTGTGTCCTCTCTCTGTGTTGTGGTTGTGTCTCTGAACAGGGGGCATGGCAGCTGGCTCAGCACCTGGCTCTCCTCCACACCTGCAGCTGATCAGCTGATCATCGTTCAGCTCTTAAGCTCCTACCTTCTGGAGGGCCGGTGCCAGATTGTTTTTTTGCCCTCTGTGGTAAAAGTTGTAGGCCAAACTAGAGATTCTTGTTCATCTTGTGCCTCTTCACCTTGGAGTTGGTTACTAACAGTTGTGTCTTTTTTTTCACTGGTTTACAGGTCCTCCGCTGCCTCATGCCTCCTCAAATCGCCAGCCACAAGCCAACACTCGGATAAAAAAGCTCACTTCTCAGCCTGGACTTCCTAAGCCCTCTCTCGACTTGCCTAGTCTCTTTTTGAATAAACTCTTTGTCTAACCTTCATCGAGTCTGTGTTTGCACAACCACCACCCAACCGTAACTGTTACCACTTAAGTTTGACAAGACAAAAAAAGTGGGTTTTTGTGCTACACTGACAGGAAGTATCTGAGAACACTAAAATATACTTCTGGTGTGACCTGGAGGGTACAAATCATCTCCAGCATGACTTGATTTTTTATTTTTTTTACATTAATTATGTATTTATGTTGTTTGTGTAATTGTGTACACACTCAAAACAAGTGACATTGACTCTTCACCAATCTGAGCTCTGAGCTGAGCTTTTGTCTTTTTGCTTGCATTTGTATTAGGTGGATCTGTGCAAGTACCTCTCAGTGAATGGGGTGACTGCCCACCCTCACATTGACACAGACGGTACAGTCTATAACATCGGTAACTGCTTTGGCAAGAACCTGAGTCTGGCTTATAACATTGTCAGGATCCCACCTGCTCGGAAAGGCAAGAGGACTGAATGTCAGAGATTTAACTTTTAAGATGATTTATTTTTTATTGAATTTTTATTTAGTTTTGAATTGAGTTTATTTGCATTTGTTTCAACACAAATTGGACAAAGTTGGAAAAAGAGGGTTAGAGAGAAAGTTGGGAGAAAAATATATTTTAAGTAAAATGTGAGAACAGAAAATAGAACAAACAGAAGGTAAGAAAGATCTAAAAAAGAACATGAAATTAAAAGCAAATCATAGCATGAATAGGCTAAAATGAAGAGGAAAGAGAAAGGTGAAAAGAGAAAGAAAAGACAACTTGTCACCTTGATGCAGCACAGAAAAAAAGATAACACTAATACTACACTTTACTATTTGTTTTATTGTTGATGTTTCCACACTTGCTTTGTGTTTCCAGATAAGTCAGATCACCTACAGAAATCCCAGGTTGTGGTTCAACTACCGAGCAGTGAGAGGTTAAGACCCTCCTACATACACAGGTTAGTTCTTCCATTTCTCACAATGAAGTCACCAGAATCTCTGCTTTGCATCCGTTCTTGTTTGACGTTCGCCCAAACCAGCCACAAAACTCACCGTTTGTGTCTGGACATCTAAAACAGTTGCTGCTTATGTATCTGTATTTATCTATCTCTCTGCTTGTCTGTCTGTAGTTTCAGTATGACAGACAACTATTTTGTGTTTGTGGAGCAGCCAGTGAAGATCAACCTGCTCAAGTTTCTGTCGCCTTGGAGCATCAGAGGAACCACATACATGGACTGCTTTGAATCCAACGAGAGCATGGGGGTAGGCCCAGGGGCCAGGGCCAGAGGGGTGGCCAGGGGTGGTACGGGCCCCTCCCTGAAAGCTGATTGGCCTTCCTTTTCAGAATTAGAGGGCGATAGATAGTTGGCTTGTTAGAATCGTGGATGGATTACAGACCCAGGGCCCATGGACCAGAAACTCTGCATGAAGATACCGTTAACATTTCTTCAATCAAAGTCAATCAAACACGACCAAAAATTTACGCTGAACCAAATTTGAAAACATCACTGACCCCGTTTTTTCGTTTTAAAACTCTGGGTAGCATTTTAGCGCGGAAGGGCAGAAACAGACGACTTTAGAAACGATGATGCAGATGCTCACGTTTGGCTCTCTGATTGGGTCATGAAACACGACGCTACTGACAGAGGTTTTGATTTTGTATTTTTATTAAAATATTTTGTACCATGCAAATAACACTTATAGCCTACTATAGCCTATCCTAGTCTGTTTCCTGCCGCCACAGTCGCTTTAAACTCCCGTGTCACATTCAGTAACAGTTCCAGCTCATTGTTGGTCCATGCAAAAAAAAAATTGCTGTGATTCTTCTGTAATCCTTTATTCGTTCGCCAAATCTTCTGTAACTATGGAATAGACCATCTGCTTCATGTTTACACCGGCACGTGCATGCCCAGTGTACGTGAACGGCCACTAGATGTGCGTTTTCAGTCTTTGAATACAGAGATCAACTCTGATACCTAGCAAAAATGCTGGTGTGGACAGAGATCGTATTCGTTTTAAAGCTAGTTGAGTGTCATTCTGGGGGTCATTAACATGTCTGTGTCCATGTCTGAGCCCATTGTCTTGTAATCTGTCCATTGATGAAGGCTATTTGGCGTTACAAATCACAGATTGTTATTAATCAGGTATCAATTCATAACCCTCAATGAACAATGTAACTATTAATAATATAAAGTTAATTATTGGCAAGAAAGGCTTTAAATTTGAGTCTCAAAACATTTTTCCTTATTTTTAAAATCTGCTCCCCTTGTTTGAATCTGTGCCCCAGTTTGGCGCATCTAAAGTTTTTAAACCCACCTCATGGGGTCGGAAGGGAAGTGTGATTACATGTGACTGCCTGTAAATTTCTGTTGATATACTGTGTGTGTGTTGTAGACGTGGTTCCACCTGGCCACTAGGGACCCAGCAGGTTATTTGAGCAGCCACAAGTTCAGAACGTCAGCTTTCAACATCTTTCACCAAATTAACGCCTATGAGGACCAGGGATTCATCGTGGTCGACCTCTGCACGTGGAAAGGGTGAGTGGTGACCCTGTGTGAGTGTTTTATGGACAGTGTGACTGTCTCATCCTGACATCTATCTCTCTCTCTCTCTTTCTCCACAGTCATGACTTTGTGTATAAATACCTGTACATGGCCAACCTGAAGGAGGAGTGGGAGGAAGTGAAGAAAGCAGCAATGGCAGCTCCTCAGCCTGAAGTCAGGCGATACGTACTGCCGCTGGATATACACGGGGTGAGTTTGTACACACACACACACACACGCACTGCAAGTTTGTAATGTCTTTACTAATTTGTTTACTTTGTTGTATAGCTTTTTTTTCAAGAACTTTAATTGTATTCTTTAAACTAGTCATAATTGGTTACATGTATTATGCTACTATTACTACCAATTATAACTGCCCACACCACAGTCTATACACTGTAGGCCTACTACCTGTTTACAAGCTGTGTAACCATCACAGTAGATACATTTATTAGGGCAATGCCTGTCTAAAATTCTATTAGCTGTCCATGACCTGTCTACATTACAGTTTATTCAATTTATAGTTACTATACATCTACCACAGTTTTACATTTTATTATATATGTACATATATATATTACATTGTATATATAACTTCTGCACTATTTTATGTTTCATGTCATAGATTCCCGTTTTATTTGCGAGACTTTCTTTTCATACATATTGGTTGAGCATTGTTGGAGGGAGCCTGAGAATTCAGAATGTCATTGCCAATGACTGCTTTGCTGTAATTGTTGTGCATAAGACAATAAAGAACAGTTTTATAAAAGGACTCTGAGTTTTAAAGCTATAAACGTGTGGCTTACTTTAGCCTTTAGCTAGCTCTGGCTTTGTGGAGCAGCCATCCTGGATCAGTATTTCACTCAAGTCAGACTTTTCGTATTTTCTTAGAGTAAAATACCCTTCGGACCACAGTTTGTGTCCTTGTATGTAGTGGTGAAGTCTTAAGACCATGTTTTGATGGTCTTGGTCTTGTCTCGGACTCAACCACATTTGTACTCGGTCTTGTCTCGGTCTCGGACACTGAGGACTTGGGATTTTATTTCAAGACCAGTCAAGACCACAACTTTGAGAATATCATTGTCTGATTTATTTGTTAACATCCTAACTTTGATTGGATGTAAAACATATTACTTTAAATGCAACACCCTAATTAAAAATGTGTTGTTCCCATTAAGCTCACCCCTCCCCGCGATGGTATTCATGGAAAAGGAGTGTTGAATAAAGATGCTTACGTTTATTTCAGCTCTTAGTGTTTTTATGTGGGTGTTTTAATGGGAATGTGGATATTTCAGATCAATTTGAGAAGTACCTATGATCTCGTTCCGCATTATATTGTGTGTCATGTAATGTGAGGAAGTGGACTTGGTCTCGACTTGGTCTCAGCCCCTAAAAGTCTTAGTCTTGTCTCGATCTCGATAAACTCTGGTCATGGTCTTGACTTGGTCTCGCTTTGGGCGGTCTTGACGACAACACTACTTATATGTGCTTGTGTGTTTTCAGGAAGAGCAGGGAAAGAATCTGGTATCTCTGCCCTACACTACAGCAACAGCTGTTCTTCACAGTGATGGCACCATCTGGCTGGAACCTGAAGTCCTCTTTTCTGGACCAAGACAGGGTAACACACACACAAACACACACACACACATATACACACACACAGGTTAAAGACCCCACTGAGATTTATTATATTATTATAGTCCTGCAATCAGACCTTTGACCTTTATGTAAAAGTACAAATTTATTAGCATCAAAATACTTTTAAAGTAAAAGTACTCATTATGTGGAATGGCTAATTTAAGAATCATATTATATCACTGGATTATAATTATTGATGCATTCATGTGTACATCATTTTAATGTTGCAGCTGGTAAAGGTGGAGCTAATTATAATAACTTTGTCATGCTAGATCTATAATAATAATTATATTATTTTTTATATTAATAAATAATCTTCATTTTCTTGCTGGTTATATTGTGTATTAATAATCTAAAGTTATTTTAAAAATGTACCCTATTGAAAAGCACAATATTGGCCTCCAAAATCTAGTGGAGCAGAAGTATAAAATAACATAAAGGAAATACCCAAGTACAGTACAAGTACCACAAAATCGTACATTTGAGTAAATGTAATTAGTTTCTTTCCACCACTGTGTTCTTGATCTTTGAAACAGCAACTTGACAAAAGATAATCAAAACGAGGTACCAGCTTCCTTGTTTTTCTTTTATAGGGGCCTCTTGCTTTGTCTATTAGCTCTCTTGTTGTCTCTCTTTCTCTCTCAGCCTTTGAGTTTCCACAGATTAACTACTCTCGGTGTCGTGGGAAGAAGTATTCCTTCGCTTATGGCCTGGGACTCAACCACTTCATCCCTGACAGGGTAGGAGCGCCTTTATCATGGAGAAATCCAGAAAGTGTTTGGTGACATTGATGTTGATATTAGTGTAAATGAAGAGCAAGAATTGTTCATTTTTGACTTGCTGTAGATAGTCAAGCTGAACGTACAGACCAAAGAGACCTGGGTGTGGCAGGAGGAAGACTGTTACCCATCAGAGCCGGTGTTTGTACCAACACCCGGAGCTACAGAGGAGGATGATGGTAGAACACACACACACACAAACACACACACTTGTATTATTTCAGTTTATCTTTCTTTATAAGGTGCTAGATAAAGCAATCCTATTTGGAGAGGTCCCTCATGTGGGAACAGAACATAAAGATTGCAAAAGTCTGAGATTTTCTCCTCTTATATAATAAGTTATTGAACAAAAAAAGAGAGATAAAGTGTTAATTGCCAGCAATAAATGAAACTTTAAAAGGTCAACCTCTAGCCTAATCTGTACCTGATCAAATTCTAAATTTAAACCATTTATATCATGTCTGTGGTGGAAATACACACATATTCACCCCCCTCTGTCTTGGTGTTGCAGGTGTGCTGCTGAGTATCGTGGTGAAGCCCGGTGCAGACAGACCAGGTGTTCTGCTGGTGCTGGATGCCATGAAACTAACAGAGCTGGCCAGGGCGGAGGTCAACACCATCATCCCTGTGACACTCCACGGCATGTACAAACCATGACCCTGACCTTCATTCCAACCCGGCCAAGACACATCCTAAAGTAATTATTAACTCTAGCTTAGCCTCTGGCATCGTCCCTGTGTGTTTTAAGCATGCAGGCGTCCAGCCTCTGTTCAAAATCATAACCTTGATTTTTAAATATTTAAATAGTTTAATTTAAATAGTAATCTCTAAATTACCATTTGTTTCTGGAAAATTGGAGAAGATAGTTTTGTCATAACTGCAACCATTTAAAAATACCATCAAGATCATTCATCCATCTCTGTCAAGATTTAAAGCCCTCCACAGCACTGAAGCAGCTGTTTTAAAGCTGACAAATGATCTGATACTCGCTGTTGACTATGGGAAAAATGCCATCTTGGTTGTACTTGATCTCAGTGTTGCCTTCAATACTATGGACCGTGACATCCTTTTGAAAAGCCTCAAACTAAATTGGTTGAAATGGGACATTCTCAGTGGCTATGGGCCAGTTTTCCTCTCACCCATGGGGTCGCTCAGGGATCCATCCTGGGGCCAGTTCTATTTTGCCTGTATATGCCCCCTCTTGAAAACACTACTAGAAAATATAACATCTACTGTCACTTTTACACAAATGATTCTCAGCTGTACCTCCAACTAAAGTCTAGGGATTACCTAAAGCCTCTTCTGGACTGTTTCAAGGACATTAAAGGCCGGATAGCAAATTATTTTATTCAGTTCACTGAAGTAATTATCGTTTGTCCCTCTACATCCAACAAGCCACCTCACCAGTATGCTAGACCAGGTGGTCCCCATATGTGAAGTCACATGCAAAAAAGACGTGGATGTTATCTATGGTTCTGAGCGGTCTTCAAAAACAAATGAGTTATGTTGAGTTATTATGAGTTACTATCAATTAAGAACCATTCCCAGACTTAAGCCAATTCTGTCTTTCCATGATATGGACAAAGAAAGAAATCCATGCCTTCATTACATCACATCTGGATTATTGTAATTCTATTGACTTCGGCCTTTCCCAGGTTTTTTATTAACTTACATCAAAATGTGTGAGCACATCACCCCAGTTCCAGCATCTCTTTATTGGCTCCCTGTTCATTCTGTTGATCACAGCTCAACAAATCTCTCTTGTATGTCCCAAGTTCTTGACTAAAACTTAAAGGTGACAGAGCCTTTGCAGTTGCTGCTCCACAATTATAGAGGATGTTGCCATTAGATATTAGATGTTCCCCCCAATCTCTGTTTTTAAATCTAGGCTAAATGCAAATTATTCATTGGCCTTTTTGATGACTAATCTTTTAATTTGTTACATATAAAACTGTATTTTGTCTATTGTTGTCATCAGTATTTCTCTTTACGGTTCTTACTTTTATATCTTAATGTTATATTTTTGTACAGGACATAAGCTGTGTTTAAATGTGCTCTAGAAATAAACTAGACTTGACTAAAATACACCATGTTCTCTTTCCTGCCAGTAGTTTGTTAGTTAAATAACTAAAATGGCTCTGATTCATATCAGAACCTATCATGACAGTAACCTTTAACTCACCAAAAATCACAGCAAAACATTAATAAGTGGTGTGAAAATGGTTTAACATCACATTTCATGAGGGGTTTCTGACCGAGATGAAAGCATAAAAAAATGTACATGTTACGGCTGCCGAGGGCAGCCGTCTGTGTGTCACTGCTGCCTGTGTTTCTCCCCGCATGTGTTACACTGTGAGGCGGGGGATTGGCTGGACTTCGGCAAGCCTGGCTGATCCCGCCTCCCATCTCCGACGATTCTGATTGGAGCGGAACACCACCCCTTCTCCAATCGCCAAGCTGCCTGCAGGACCGCCTTCGTGCCTTCCCCCTCAAATAGGCTGGTCTGCTGCTGATTCGGGGCAGCTACCTTTTGCCATGTGGTTTGCCCTGACGCTGGTCCTAACCTTGAACTCTGTGTGTGCGTGTATCCTCAGTGGAAACAGCTTCTGTGTTCTGCGCTCCCTGTGTTTTTCCACTTCTGAGCAACGGCTAGAGAGGTTTTTGTTTATCTTTTTTAAAGTAGTTTAGTAATCCCCCACGTAGGAGGGATCTCTTTTTGTTATATTTGGTTCTTTGTTTTACGCAGCACCCACTTGCCCATTTTCTGTTTGACTATTTTGTGTGCATCCGACTGCTTAATAAATAATCTTTCCACCCATACCGAATCCATCTGGTTTATGTTTACGTCTCTCCTATCCCTAGACAGCGGGGACGTAACAGTACAATTGACTTCTAGCTATTTATTTTATTTAATTGGTAATGCATCGGTGGTTAATGCAATTCTTTGATATGTAAAGTATTACTTTTCTCACCAGGTCCTTGGGACATATTACAAAACTTGTCATTAATCTCCTTGGATTATTGCTACTAATCAAGCTTGGAGCTAACATTGTCTTTTGGCTTTAATATAAAAATAAATATAATAATAATAAAAAACAGTTTCTTCTTTTTCAGTTTAATGAATACTCTCAAAGCCCTTGAATAGTAAGATATCTTGAATGGCTATTTCCCTTTTTGGTGACAGCTGAAACAAAATCTCAGTGCGTTATTTTACGTTCTGGCTGATTCCATCATCCCAAAACCTGCCAGGGGCATAAAAAAGCTGAGCTCTCCTCCTTTAACCTCCTGTTCAGGTCATCCTCCTGTTTCTTCTCTTCCTCCTGCTCACTGTCGGGAGGAAGCAGAGAGCCAGTGTGACCTGGAGCCGTCACTGCCACTCTGGCGTAGGACCACAGGAACAGGACATTAGGGTCAAAGTTTTTTGGGAGACATTATAAAACTTACTGCTGACAAATAAAGTCAACAGAGCAGACCGATACAGGGAGACTGACAGGGGGACAAGTTTCCGCTTGGTTAAAGCAACCAAAACATAGAAATTAGCTGCTGTGAAAATGTTTAAATTCATGATGAAAATGACTGCATACTGCTATTTGTGATATCATCCTTTTAAGGCAACTAAAAACCACACACAAATTTTTTTCAATTTAAACCTTTACTTACTTTTTTAAATATATATTCTTATACAAAAAACACATTACAATTTTTCAATTTACATTTGAATTTAAAGAACAGAAATTTTGACAATGTAGTATTTTTGAAAAATAAACTGTAAAATAAATTGTTACAACGGAAATCAGTGATACACAAACGTCCTTGGAGGAGCTTTTGGAGGCGTCATCTTATAGTATTGCAGAATAGTGATACAAAGGCATCTTAATAATCAGAAAATAAAACATCTCAAAAACGTCTGTGTGAACGGAGGTAGCCATTAGTTTCTTGAGGTAAAAACATTCACTCACAGTACTGTATTGTTATAGAAGTGTTTATTATCATATGTATATACAGAGCAGCCACAGAACCTTTGTGTTTATAATTTCCTATGAACTGCTCCCAACAGTTCAATATCTGAGAACTCTCTAAAACCTTTAATGAAGTTTGGTCCATCAGACGATTGGCAATTAATCTTCTGTATTTCACATGTTACACTTCGGACAGATATTTCTGTATGGTGTGCAAAGACATGCATTTGTTATTTAAAGAATGTTGATTCTCTTCAAGGGCTGCTACAATTCCTCTTTCTTCATTTTTTGGATAATTTAGGACAGCTTTTAGGATAATGCCATCATCATCCCGTCACAACCGGTTTAAAAAGGGCCATGGCAAATATGGGAGAGACACTAAAAATGCACTTATATTAACCGATTTATTTAGAAAACATCAGGCAAACGCTGTGGATGGCACTAAAGACAGTGGTGTAAGTGAGTGGAGGAACAAACAAGGCACAACAAAACAGGCGAGAGTTTGGTGTGGATCCTCTTGGCGCATATTGGTGAAAGTGACCAATGGGTACAGCAGTTTACAACAGTTTAATTACAAAGAAAGGCACAGTTGTTCGTAGTTTCCAGAGGAAGTGAGGTGAAGAAAGAGGCCTCTACATACGCAGAAGTGCCGATTGCAGTTTCTCTGTGGACAGCTGATACTGCTGCTGTTTGATGATGTCCAAGCAGTGTCTGAGAACCTGCAGACAAAAACAATGTTAAGTATATATGTTATGTACTTAAATGCCCCTTATGATGTTGTTTTACCTTCCTGGTGTCCTGAGGCAGAATGACTCCATCGTCCCAGAGTCTGCTGGAGGAGAAGAAAGCTGAGCTCTCCTCCTTTAACCTCCCGTTAAAGTCATCCTCCCATTTCTTCTTCTCTTCCTCTTGCTCACTGTCAGGGGGAAGCAGAGAGCCCGCGTGACCCGGAGCCGTCATTGCCACTCTGGCGTTGGGCCACAGGAACAGGAAATTAGGGTCAAAGGCCCGACCACACTAGAGACATCCAGGGAACAAGGTTCAAATTATTGTGGGATTGTATCCTAAATCCTACATGAGCATAAAGTATGATTACATAGTAGAATAGTAAATGCGTGTAAAATTTCTCTTGCACAGCCGTTTACTGTTTGTTTGCAACCAACATAACACATGTAGTTGGGTGTACAAACATTTTCGGTGAAAAAACTGAAATGCACATTTTTGCTGTGAAAATGGACAGAGACAAGTTTTCAGTGGAGTAATTTAAAGAATGCAGTCAGGTAGAACACAGCGATACTAAAGTAAGACTACGAAACAATAAACAACCAAAAAACACCTTAAATATCTGCAGTGTGACACATGGACTTAGTTAGAAAGATAGCAGCTAGTACTATTTACTGCCATTAAACACACACAAAAAAACTGAATATGGTTTCCATTTGCTGTTGGTTCTGCAAAAGCAATGCTGTTATACAAGGGAAAAAATGTGTTTACGTTTTTGCAAAGAGATTATCACATAACTACAGCAATGTTTACTGAGACTCTCACCATAGCGTAGCTGTCAGCACCATGGCAGCCACCTATCACCACTGTGATTTTGGGGACGGAGGCACATGCTACTGCTGACATCATTGAGCCCTGAGCCTTCAGACGGTTGCTATTTATCTCTGCCTAGATACACACAGACAGACACACACAGAAAATACAGACATGAAACATAAAACTAAAATTAAAAGTTATTAAACACACAATGACAAAGATTGTTTTCCTACATCCTGCCTTTCAGGGATTTATTTACATAAATCGTATTTTTTTTCTTTTCCAGAGTTACTACTTCTCTATTTGATGTACAAAATTGACTCTTATTATTTCAAATCAATACTTTTGGTGAAATAAATATTTTGAAATACATGCATCTGAACAAGCCCCATGTGTGTTTTACTGGGAGTAAATACCTGTCTTGTCGATAATGTTAGAGCTGCTTCTGGTGCTGTGTTCTGGAGGAAGAGGAGGGGGATGTCTCTCTGGTCACACAATTGGACAAAATGGCTGCCTTTCAGTGCAGCCTGGTATGACAGTTCGCCATTGTTGGCCACTATTCCCACCAAGTGGCTAAGAGGGTACATATACACAGAAAAAAACCCAGATACTTAATAAGCATCGCACAAAAACAACATGAAACAAAATACTCACATGCTTAAATAATAAACCAAATAAAACAAAAATGATTAGCAACCAGTATTTATACAGCTTTCCAGGAATCCTCGATATGAATATTTGAAACAACACAAGACCCAAACAATACAACACAAATAACTGTCTGATCCGTACACTCATGCACATGAGGTTTTTCCTACAAATTTCAAATGATGTGGCAGTTACTCATTGTTCAAGGAAGATTTGTTTTGCTCCCCGGTTTGGTGATCTGATTAAGGCTACATTTACGCTACTATGTTTTTGTTTTAAAATGGAGACCTTTTGCTACGTCTGCACCTCCCTCCGCTTTTTTATTTCACCAAATCTTCTGCAACTGTGGAGGAAACACTCATTTTACTGATTATATTGGCCAAATTTGATTGCAAATTCACAATGACATTTATAACAACACTGACATCTTTAACTTGCCGTTTGTTGGCTGAAAAGCATATGTAGTACCTGCCCTTACTATCTAAATCTGTGTGTGTGTGTGTGTGTGTGTGTCTGTGTGTGTGTGTGTGTGTATCTTTTACCCATGGATCTTTGCGAAGCCAGTGATGAGTGTGGTTCCATAGCGAGCTTTAAACTCCTGGAAGCGGCTCCCGTCAGTCAGTCGACTGACTACCTGGACAGACAGACAGACAGAAACAACCCACAGCATGTCATTAGTTTTGGATTCAGTGAGACAGTAACAGCCGTGACATGAAACAGAGGTTCCCACAAACCAACCACGTCATGATTTGCCATGAAATTTTAAGTGAAATTCTAAAAAGATAAGCTCATCATTGTGGTGTTTTGTAAAGATAAAAGCACTCCTTTCCCTGACTGTTTAGCCAGAAGGACTGCATTTACTCCTCATGCTAACAACTCAGTTTACAGAGCTAATGTCTTTGTGTGCACGCATACTGTACCATTTTAACATCCAGACTGTAGTTATAACTCGTGGGAGCGAGCCCCAACAGCTCCTCTGAACTATAAAGCGGCTCCTCCTCTGCTTTCCTCTTCTTTATGTCCTCCTCACTCTCCTCCTTTTCCTCGGGCAGCTGGAAGTTGAGGGTGGATATGATGTTTCTGGTGTAATCATACGCCTCCTTTTCTTCCCAGGCAAAATAGTCCACACAGCCACTCACCCTGAAACCAGAAAATAAATTGACAAACTTACAACTTATTGTGAACTTTTATTTGGTTATTTCTATAACGATATATTCGATAACTTTATATTTGGGGCTTGTTTGATTTTTGGACCCACTCAGCATGAAGCCTGGCTCCTCCCAAGTCCTCTGGTGTAACTTCCTCCCCAGTGGCGGCCTTGACAAGTGGTGGTCCTCCCAGAAATATGGTCCCTATCCGGTTCACCATCACTGCCTCTTCCGCCATTGTGGGAATGTAAGCTCCACCAGCCGTGCACGACCCGCACACCACTGACACCTGTAGGACTATTAATTGTTTTATAATTGGAATAGCAATTTAAAAACTGCAAGAGTGGTGATTTGATCAAATGCTTGATTTGTTACTTTTCTTTAAATTTCAAATAGTAATCTAGCAAAGATTCTCGCACACCAGAACGTCTTAATGAAAGGCAAGTAGAATCCTTTACTCTGTGAGTATAATCTGTACTGTCTTTATCAACAACATTTGGTCCTTCAGGTAATGGAGGTCTAACGTCCATAATGTCATTATTAAGCGAGGGACTGTTTTTGAAATTTCAAATAACACTTCACCAGACTGCTACAGTCCCAAATCATAGACAGCATGCATTTCTGTCTTCGATGGCCTAAATCAATTAAACACTTGTTTCATTATATGCACTCAATAAATGTAATATATACGTATGATAAAGCAAAACCCTAAAACCAAACAACAAATTAACTGGAAAACAGTAACATACAGTTCCATTAAACATGCTTTATAGATGTTTAATCGATTGAGTGTATATTATTAATTGATCGCAGGAACAGCAAGATGTCAGATGTGACATTTGTTTAATGTTTGTTATGACAGACAAATTAATTTTCAGCCTATTTTGTTTTTATCATGTTCTGTTAAAGCGAGCCTGTACTGTAATATTTCTTCACCTGTGGGATCTTCATGGCAGACATGATGGCTTCGTTATAGAACGTCCTTCCTCCCTGGTTCTTATCAGGAAAGATCTCTGACTGGACAATTACACAGAGAGAGAGAATTAGATTAAACACTCTTCTGATCCTAAGCAGTTATTATGGCAGAGCTGTGTGTGTGTGTGTGTGTGTGTGTGTGTGTTCACCTGCAGTGGTAGAAAAGCTCCTCCAGAGTCGACCAGGTAAACACAAGGCAGGCGATTCTGAATCGCCACTTCCTGTGCCCGTAGCTGCTTCTTCACTGTGATTGGATACGCTGTGCCGCCTTTCACTGTGGCATCGTTGGCAATGAACACACACCACAGGTCATTGATCCTGCCAATGCCTGGATGGGTACAGTACATAGGGGCATAAGTCAGCGGCATGCATGTGAGTCACACCTGCATCAGCATCAGACACGTGCAGAGGGGGGGTGCAATGGGTACTTGAGCGCCTGCCCTTTTGCCCTTTGATGCCCAAAGTGCCCCTTTTTCAAACGCATAATTTCCTTTATTTTATTTATTTTAAAAAATTTGTAACAGCCCTTTTGTGAAGGCCTGCCCAATCAAAGTAGCAGCAAAATGAATTAATAATAATTTTGCAGTAAATAAAATGACCCAATTGATGACCTTTCACCTGATGACCTCATCCGTGACGAGCCCTCCCGTTCAGACAACGTTAGTGATTCAGTAGCACTGCCTACAGGACACCTTCGATCCCGACCATAAGAGGGGTTTGCCGCAACGTGCTTGTTGTGGGACGTTGGATGTATTTTATAAAAAAGACGCAAAGAGAACAGCACAGTAGTTGTGTATTGTGTATATTGCTGTGTGTCGCCTGTAGAAGTAACATCAGTTGCTGGCTAACACGCCGACAGCTAACGTTACTTTTACACACAGATAAACAAAGGTGCTCTGCTCACTTCGTTCTGTTTGGGGGAGAAAAGTTTCACAGGCGTCGAGAGGTGTGGTCTTTTCTATGCAATTTGACTAAAATCTTTTCACTTGAACTAGGATTATTACAGTGACTTAATAAAAGCCTTGTGCCTTAAAATAAGTATAACAACACTGCTAAAATACTAAGACTATTCCTCCGACTTATAGCCCTTTTAATTATCATTAAATTCAGAACAGTATTGAATACATTTACATTTTGAAAGCAACAGTAGCTAGTTTTTACAACAGCTCAACTACAATAAAAACTCAATAACTGGAAATACATATAAAAATGTATGACATGTAAAAACAAACATAGAATATATATTAGTTGATTAAACAATTATGTGACCATGAAAAGATGTAAAGATTGTTGAGTGTTTGGGACTGGCTCACAGTGACTGACCTGCTGTAATACTGCAGCATCTCCCAAGGCTGACTGCTAGGGAGACACTCACAGAGCTGCACACAACATTTCATACATTTTTCTGAAATCTAATAGGGCAATTTCTTCTTCACTCTTTACTTTGATGTCAGGAATATTATAAAAGATTAATGCTAGTTTATTTATTTAGATTTATGATTACAGTCAATAGTCAATAAAAATCCAAATATAGCTCAGATTCACAATGCAATATATAAAATTATTATCACAATTTTGCATACTGTAGACAGACATGCAAGCAACACAGACACACACACCTCTGTCTATAGATTTGTTTGTCTCACTCTTACCCCTGCCCACTCATCCTTTCCCCATTAATGTATCCTTCTCAGATTATTTCCCACCCTTTTTTTTAAATCTGGTATTTTATTTCCTCTACCTGCAGCTCTGGGTGTGCAGCTCTGTGAGCATCTCCCTAGCTGTCAGCCTTGACAGTGGCTGCAGTATTACAGCAGGTAGTCACAGATCACCTCCAGTAGTATCAGCAACCCCTCAACTGCAACTGTCCCCTGTAAGTTATGTCAGCCCACAGTGTTTTAAAGCTAGTGTTGGGTATTTCCTGTTTCTTTTTGCGTCACAGCATTTGCTGATGTATCGATACAGAAGTATCTGTATATACTTGTCAACAAGGAATACATAACGATATATTTCTATGTCAATAGTATGAGAACAGTTTTATTTAAATCCTTGTTCCATGTGCCCTTTTTATACTTCAAGCACCTGCCCTTCCAAAGGTCTCTGCACGGTCCTGATCAGCATAGTGGGTGGGGAATAAACTGTAAAAGTAAAGTAAACTAAGTAAATCACTGGCACTTAGCTGTAGTGAAACTAGTCACACTATACAGTCTATAGTTAGTACCAAAGACATGGGATTGCAGCTAGAGGTTTCTGACCAGTCAGGCATCCGGCTGAAGGGATGTCCCCGTACGGCAGACCCAGACCAGCGAATGGTGACAGCTCAAGGAAGTCCTCATCATCCAAAAGGAGGCGCAGCCGATCCCTGACCAGCAACTTCCTGTTTCTCTGCGTGTGTCTGGCTATGGCGTTTGCCCCTCCACCTTTTCTCACCTTCTCAGTTAACTCCATGTACCTTACAAAAAGAGAAGGATAACAAAAGTCATGTTTTTACAAATGTATTTAAATAAATAATACAATGGGGGGAATCAGCTACAACTGATCAGAGCTGAACACTACACACTGACAAGAGCAGAACCTACTTCTTATGGCAGGCGTTGCTGTTTTGGAGATTAGCTTCATACACATGTCGCTGGATGGGTTGCAGGGGCTGCTCCAGCACCGGGAAGGCACTGCGCAGAGCCCTCCTCTTCATGGATACAGAACTCATACAGCGGACTGAGCACTGCCAACGCTGCTCAACCAGCCTGCAACACGAGATTCATACAGTACATGAACACTGTTCTCACTGATGGGAAGGTCAACTGTAGGATAATGTGTCCTGGTTAAAAAACAAGCTTATGGCCTGTTTACAACATGTGACAATCACAGACAATCTCCCCTTTAGGGAGAGAAAGAGAGAAGCAACAAACACAAACGGTCTTCAGTCATTCTCTAGTTCCACTTTCTTGTTTGTTATATGTTAGTGATTTCCAAACGTGAGGCCAGGATTTTTTTCTGTTTCATCCTATTTTCCCTCACACTTCTAACTCCTTTCTTCAACCTTTTAATCCATCTGTATTTATCATTCTGTATAAGCTGTGCATTTACATGGATAGTGAGTCCAGTAAGTTACTCTGTTGTGCATGCTTTGTAAGAGATGGATCTGGATTGTGTCATATGTGAAAATTATTTTATTTGGTATTTCATTTATCTGACGGTTGTAGTTACAGTATTATCCAAGGACAGTTGCCCTTTATTTTAACCTTCCTTGGATAACAATGACCTGGATGACTGAGAATCTTCACAAACATAGTTACAGTACTACTTTGCAGATTAAGATTTTACATACAAAACACCATATGATAATTTTTAAAAAATGTGATACATTGTTAAAATGCCCAGCAATATATAAAGTATTTAAATTAGCTTCAGCTGAACTATCTAACATGATGTTTACATATTAATAATAATCAATACAATATAAATCATAATATATCAGGGAACATTCTGCATTATGAGCACTTTCACTTTTAATACCTGCATTACTTTTTGCCTTTCTGCTGACAATAACTTTTACTGGTATAGTATATTTAGATTGTGGTATTAGCACTTCTACTTAATTTAAGGATCTCAATACTTCCTCCACCACTAGCAGAAGTATTGCACTTTTTACTCCACCAAATGTATTTAACTGTTATTGTTACAAGTTACCTCATAAAAGATTTTACACACAAAACCTATAAACAGATTCTACAGTGAGATTGCATTGTTATTATATAGTTTAAATAGACAATTTAGTACAGCTATAGATAACCCAACTGTTTATAAACTACTGCAGTAAAATAAACTTACACATTAATGCATTAATAATAATAATTATAATAATAATGTAATGATTATGATAGCACAACATCCTCAGGACAGGGAGTACTTTCACTTTTTTATAATTGTTGATAAAACGTACATACTTTTACTTAAGTGACATTTTAGATGCAGTACTTGTACTCCTACTTTTATTTATGAAAAGGACCACGTATTTATCAAGAGAGAGAAATAACAGCACCGTTAAACTACATCTTCTTCACGTTGCAGACCAGTACAGCTCCCTTTAGTGACCCCTGGGCGTGGGAACAGTTTTGGAGCCTGCAGCAGCTAACTCAGAGATACCTGGTTGGTACCTTGAAATTCAACCAACGCTATTTATCTCTTTGTCCCTTCGAGGTCACTTTCACCTACATACTCGGCTCAAGTGCACATTTATGTTAACGTTACACCACTTGCTGCGACAATCAGATCCATAAACAAACGTCTATCCGTTAGCCTAAGGTATAAACGACAAACAGTGCACTCATTTTGCTCATATTTTGTCTATTTAAACGCGTGAATGCAACTATATATCCACGAGGCTATAATCAGTGACATGTTTTTGCAGTACCGCTTGGACAACCTGCGACGCTAAATAAATCCTAGGGTTAAAAGAAATGTGTGTCAAAGGTCGTAAAGACATCTGAGTGATGAATAAAAAGATGGATCTATGGATGGAAAAGTTGTAACACCTCTTACCTTGCCATGCAGCGGTACATGTCTGCCTGTGTCTGCTGTACTACAGCTAATAACACAACTTTAAAAATACTCCAAAACAGAACTACTCCATTGTCGATTGGACTCTTCTTAAGTGTTCCGAAGGGATTCTCTTCCTCGTTGTTGTGTTTGTCAGCAGTTTGTGGGCTCTAGCAAACATTACTGCTCCCTATAGGAGCAGATGGTAAAGTGTAGGTCAGCAGTAAGATAAAATTGCTGTCTCTCTAAAATTGGAAGACAATAATCTCACTGCTTGACAGTAGTATATTCTAACTACTACTACTCAAGTGATAAGTACAAACTTAAAGTCCTTTCCTTTTGTACTTACCTTTAGTATTTCCATTTTAAGTACTTTAAAGGGCCTACTCCTATACTCTAATATACTGTAGTTAAGAGGGAAATACTGAGACTACTTGTCACTTTTAATTTAAGTTAGTAGCCTATACAGCATATGAGGGGGTTCTAATATGATGACATGGCTGTAGATTAAACTACCCAGCAGTATGTAACATTAGATCTGAAATGATTAGTCTGTTATTGCAAATCAGTTGATTTCCAACTATTTTGATAACTGATTAATCATTTAGCTAGAAAGACAAAATGTTAAACATGTCACCATCTCTCAAATGTGAGGATTTAATGACTTTCCTTGTCTCAAATTAACTGAATAATTAAACTAAATATATTTTGGGGTTGGACTATTGTTTGGAAAAAGATATCAGTATTTTGAAGATGTCATATTTGGTTCCTGAGAAGTGTGGTGGGCATTTCTCACTATTTTCTGACTTTAATCCAAACAAATAATCAGTTAATTGAAAGAATAATCAGCAGATTAATCAATAATAACAATAGGCCTAATTATTAGTTGCAACCCTGTATAAAATACTTTACTACCTTAACCAACTGCGTACACAATGCAATTATACATTTTTAATGCACAATTAATAACAATCATCAATCAATCATATAACTTATTTGACTTTTGATACTTTAAGTAGAAATTGCTAATAATACTTACAATATTTACTTTTAATTTTGTTTGTATCACAGTTTACAATATACAATACTGTTCTACTTTTATCCTCTGCAGCTGTAGGGACACATCTTGCCCACTAGAGGGAACTGTTGGTTTTCTGTCTAAAGATTGTTTATTATCACAATGAGAGTTTAAAACCTTTACAACATAAAAACACTAACTGGACCACAAACCAGCAAAATAACGTATGGCAGCATTACTACCCAGATAGTATCTTCATCCTCTTTAGCCCCACAAATAAATGATCACTACTAACTAATAAACAATTTAAATGTTGAAAACGAATGAGTCCTGAATTATTACTGTTAGGCAGATAGCACAGCTTAAGGTCTTAGATAATTTTTCATACATATTGTAATAATATTAGAGGAGATAAAAACAAGCACCCCTCTATAAATTCCATAGAGTAATAAGATACCATATAGATGACTGGAAAACAAATTTTAAGATGGGCTATTATTAACAACTTTTGTTAGCTTTGACAGTGAATTTGTTCTCTTCAAGGATCACATTTATTTATTCATGTTTATATATGTCTGTTTTTAGGGTTGATTTCATGGCTCGTCAAGTGTTATGAGCCTAAGGCCAAAGCTGGAAACTTAGTTTCCTGATTGTTATCTAACAATATCACTACTTTGATCCTGATTGATTTTACACTATGATATGTAAGAAGATACATTTTAAAATTGTCTTCAAAAATTGAGGAAATGGGCTAACAGAAAGCACGGTGACAAAATAATATATAACTGATTAAAATTTAAAGCTGGGGTAGGCAACTTTGGAGAAACTAGCAAGACACAGCAAGATTTTGGAAGTATCCAACAGAATAAATCTTACCTCATTCGTTCAGGCCTCCCTCCAAAGCCACTCCCCCAAAACACATTTTCAAGTGCAGTGAGTGCACAGGTAGGCAGGTAAACAGACATGTAGACCAGCCAATCATAGTTGGCCCATACTTAACAATTTTTTTGCTTTTTCTTTTTTTTTTTTCCGAAGCCAAACAATTTCAACAAATCTAACAAAAAAAAAGCTTCTAAAATAAAATTCTGGTTCTTCTGTGGCAGTTTTCTGGTTCTTTAGCAGTCTTTTTTTTTTATCACTGAATTAATTCACAATATGCCTACATAAATGATAAATTAATCAAATTACAATATAAGTAGTTCAAAAGTTTTTTTTTAATTACAGCTCTTCAGGGTTTATTTTGTTGTTTCCAGGTATTTACTATACATAATATTAAAAATAAAGCGCTCACAGCTTTTACTCTTATTGATCTATTTATTTATTTATTGGTCATCATAAGGTCTAAAACCAGTCGGACGACCACTAACAACAATATTACATTTGTGGTCCGGGGCCCCTGGTTTGGGCGGCCCTGCTGATTCAGGCGGATAGAGAGCAGAAGGAGGAGGGGTGTGCGTGTTTGTCGGCAGACAGTCAGTCAGTCAGGAGGACCGGAGTACCAGCGGCAGTTTGGGAGAGTCAGAACGGGGAAAACTGTGTCCAATACGGGAGAAGTCAGAAGGCAGAATCTGCAATGAGTTGGGGAACGGAGCTTTGGGTATGTTTAAACTCTCTCACCTGTGTTTCTGACCAACTGTTTGGCTCGTTTGCGTTGTGCTGCGGCACGGACAACACACCGACTTTTGGGGTATGGAGTGAAAGAAAGGTGCCGTGTGTTATGTTACCTTTTAGCTTTGTGTAACGCGGCTAACGCTAGCTGGCCCCGGCTGCGCTGTTAGCCGGCGAGGCTAAAGCTAATCCGAGGTGCACCTTAACGGCTGTGTGACAGCGGCGGAACAATAGGAAAGCCTGCAGACAGACGGGCACGACGGCCGGGGCGGGGGTCACGCCGCCTTATCCGCTCGATAACAACTTAAATAGTACATGTGCTGCTGAATTTATGTTGTTTGACTGGCAAGTTACAAAGTTGTATCTTTGTGTTTTTTTTTGTGTGTGTGTGCGTGTGTGTGTCACACCCTGTTTCAAAGAGAGGCTGGCAGGGATTCCCGGTATCAGGGTGGAGAAACGGTGTGATCTCGCTTGTGGATACCACGGTCCGTCCTGCTAGGTCTACTTCAAATGAACCTAACTCTTCACAGCTGTTTGTTTCACGACTGCTTTTACACAGCGTGTGTCTTTGTTGCCGCTTATTCAAGCTTTTGTCTTAACTTCCATGTGATTAGAAGGGACACAAGCTCGTATTAAGTGAATGAGCCGAGATAAAAACGCCTCACACCGCATGTTCTGCCTTCCTAGCTCTTATATCTCAATGAGTAGCTACATGGAAATCAGTTTATATTATATTTTATAAGTCACTCAAACATGTACTGCTGCTGCTCTTTGTCAAGTACAGCAGAAATCAGAGTGAGTGCATACCTCCCCTTTTTAATCAGCACCATGTCTCAAATTATTATTATTTAATATGGTTTAATTGTTGTTTTCAGCATTGGGTTAATTTAGTGAATATATATTTGGATAAGAGCCATAGCTGACAGTATGATGAGCTCCAGCCTCAATTTTTTTGGGGTGTTGGCCATCACAAGCTGTGTAACCAGAGAGGCAACCAGCAGCATCCTCTGTGTGTGTGTGAGGAGGCGGTACTTCACCTCCCTGGGATGATACTCCTCCAGCTGACCTCAGTGGTTATTATGCAGTTTAATATAAGCTAATTTTTTGCTTGCTCAGCCCTCAAATGTAACATGACTATGCTGCAGCAGACAAAGAGATAATGGTTTGCTTGTCTATGATCCGAAAAGGATTGTGAAATAGTGAACACAGATTTGATTAGTCAGGATTTTAGTGTTTTTGGATCTCCCATTCATATTATCCATTCAGCTGTTTTTTGCATTTGTGTGTGTTTTTTTTTTTTTTCTGTGGATAGAGTACCAAGCATGGACAGAATATGCAATTAGCTGTGTTCCCTGTAGGCAGGCTGAGAGACTGGCTAGTGAACACAGGATTAGACATATATTTTTAGTCCATTTCTAAAAGTGTGAATCTGGTTTCAGCCTTTTTCTTTACTAGGAAAAAGATTTTGGGTTTCTAGATGTTGCAACCATTTGATACAGCTGCATGATTATACAGAGGAAACAGTGTAACTTGTGATTAATTTCATTATCAATTATCTGTTAATCATATAAAAAAAAAGTCAAAACTGTAAAAATGCCCATCACAACATTTCATTTTTTGTAAATAAACAAATTCATTGAGTCCTCAGTATATTTTAAGTTATATATATTAATATTTTTAAGTGTGTGCAGAAAAATATCAGATCTTTACATATGATGTTCAGTTTGAAAGCAAGACACTGGTTTTTGACTTTGAATGACTTTAGTAAAAAACTAAAGCTCAAAAATGTCAGGATATTCCTTTATTCTCTCATTAAACCTGTTTCAGTTCTTCTCTGCATCGTCTTTTTGTCAGTGCCGTAGCAAAGCACACTTTTATCTGCTGAGTGGAGACGCTGGCTGACGGACCGTCATAATCCCCTGATGGGATTAATGTGTTGGCTGTCTGATGTCAGATTACGGATTATTGTCCGCAAAATAGGACATTAGACATTACAGTCAGTCTAATTTAAATGACAGACCGTGTCAAAAAGCAGAGATTACATTTGTTGGCCAAATACCATTAATATGACTACTTAGGTAATTGTCTCGTGTGATTGTGATGGTTTTATTGATTCAGATGACATTCAATAGCTAATTCACCTAGTACTGCAAACTAAACATTATTATCATTATTGACTAATCTGCCAATTATTTTCCTGATTAATCTATTATGTGCTGGGTCTATAAAGCAAACTACTGAAAAAGGGCCATCACAATTTCTCAGAGCCCGAGGCAATGTCTTCAAATTGCTTGTTTTATTGGACCAACACTCAAAAACTATCAAAACTATTTAAAATAAAGAAAAGCCCCAATATTAACATTTGAATAGCTATAACCAGCTCAATAATTATTAAAAAATGAAAACTCATTTATTAAAAGAACAAACAATTCTGTGTAGCAGAAATACATTTTTGTTAATTTTTTCTGCTTTTTGTTTCATCCCTAAATTCCATTAGTAGGTATTTTCTTACAAACTGCATTATATAAATAAAAAGCATCTTGCACTTGATGTAGCAATAGGATGCTCAATGTAGCTTGGCGCCTTTGCTTTTGCCCTGCGTTTTGGCTCTAACCCAGGCCTTTGAGACATTAAAAAGCAAGCGAGGAACATCCTATTACCGAACTGGCTTCCTGCCCTCCGAGACACACATAAAATAGGAAGTGCTTGTCTGAATTAAAGCTCTGTGTGCCAGGATGCTGGCATGCTGTGCTCAGGTCTGGCTGGTTGAGGTGAGCCCGGAGGCCGGCAGAGTGGAGCAGCCAAGAATGACTGAAAGACAAGAGACTGACGGGCAGTCGTCTCTACTGATCGGCCAAACTGAAAGACAAAGATAAGGGGATAAAGGATGGAAAGGAGAAAGAGGACAGGCTTTAAACGCCTGGCTAAACTCTTGATTTTACTCTTGAAGTCAGCTGGTAAAAGGATAGACTTCAGACCAACTGTGGAAACTCAGATTCAGAGCAGTGAGAGTGTTTTGTCCCCCACAAGAGTTTGCTTTTCTGTGGATTTGAAAAAGGTTAAAATGTGTTCCCTCAAATATCTTATCGGAGGTGTTGTTGGAGTATGGGGGTAGCAGGATTATGTGCAAATAATTTGATAGTTGGAGCAAGAGGGTTGTATTCTTGGCATCAGGTGGCCATCAGAGTCAGACAAGGGTACTCGATTTCCCCCTGCTCCTGTTTGATATTTATAGACTGTAGCCTTCAGTATATATTAAAGTCTGGAGTGATCCCAGTTCCCTGACTGTAGGGTAGCATCTCTTCTGCTCAAAATCGTGTTGTCTTGCTTTATGAGCAATATAAGATACGTTTGCAGAGACTCTGTCGGCGATTGGTTTAATAGAATTTCCTGAAGACTGTGTTGGCTGTAGTGGTATCGCAGCCAACTGTTGTTGTAGTGCTTACACCGTAACTGATTAGGCGATGGAGAAGAGAAAATGAACTGACAACAACTGTGATAATCGATCACTAGTTTAAGTTTTATATCAAGCAAAAATTTGAGATTTTGGTGATTTTTCTCAGTTTTATAGAACTGTAAATATTTTTTAGTTTTGGACGGTATCCAATTCTGGCTTCTTTTATGGTTTCTTTACTCCTCCGTGACAGTAAACAGAATATCTTTGGGTTGTGGACAAAACGAGACATTTGAGGACGCCACCTTTGGCTCTCTACAAAACAGTGCTCGCCATTTTTCACCATTTTTGACATTTTTTGTACCAAACAACTTATCAATTAATTGAGAAAATGATCAACAGATTAACTGAAAATAATCATGTGGTACTACTGTCATTCTGTTGAAAACACTGAGCCATGTAATGTTACAATTCATTTTCAATGCTTATTCTGCTAACGGGGAGCCTAATAAAGAAAAAAAGACATTTCCATTAGAGAAATTAAAGAAGTTACAAAAATGTTTATCAGTATGAACATGTGTATAATGCTGACTATAATTCTTAGAAAGAAAATCAGAATCGGCCAAGAAAATTTCAAACTGTGCATCTCTAATAAACCCTGGAAGCTTAAGGTGACATCGCTTGTTTTGTCCGAACACGAATACACAGAATAAGCATTGAAAATGAATTGTAACATTACATGGCTCAGTGTTTTCAACAGAATGACAGTAGTACCACATGATTATTTTCAGTTAATCTGTTGATCATTTTCTCAATTAATTGATAAGTTGTTTGGTACAAAAAATGTCAGAAATGGTGAAAAATGGCGAGCACTGTTTTGTAGAGAGCCCAAGGTGGGATGTCTGGTTTTGTCCACAACCAAAGATATTCTGTTTACTGTTACGGAGGAGTAAAGAAACCATAAAAGAAGCCGGAATTGGATATTTGGGGAATTCTGAGGAGAGGGTTCTTGTTGTTTAGTAGGGCAGTAGTCCGGTTCTTAGCAGGTCACAGCGGGTGAGAATGAAGTCATGTTGAAGCTGAGGAGGCTGGCCTGGATACGACAAGCTGTTATATCAACTCTAGCCAAGCTTTTCAACACATTGTGTGTACATGGAGGGGGTGTTTTTGTAGGTGCAAACATGTTGTTTTCAGTCCTAGATGTGTGACAGTGATAGCTGAAGCCCACGTTACTTTGTGTTTGTCCAGCGTGTGGGGGTGGATGTCTTTCTTAATTAACAAAATTGCACTAACACACATCTCCGGGAGACAAGGAGGAAGATGAAGATGGAGAGGTCAGAGGAGGAGGTGTGAGGGAAGAATGGAGGTGAAGAAAGCCATCTAAGAGGAAGGGAAGAAGTTTAATGATATGAGAGATATTTTCATTTGGTGGGAGGTTAAGGCAGAGAGACAAGTAGAGTTTACAGGCATAATGGATTAGATGAAACTTTAATGATCCCAGTGGGGAAATTGGCTGTAACAGGATACATCAAGAATGAATGGGCTGTCAGTCAGAGTAGAGCAAAATGAGTTTCCACTGTATAAACAGATTCAAA